GACTGCGGTCGCACAATGTATTGGACCACAAGCTGCCCTCCACATTTTTGGTTTAATAGCTTATGTCAGTGTTGTCCAAACTTGGCCACTTTAAGATGAGTGGACTTCAACTCCCAGAATTCCCCAGCCAGTTGAAGTCCACTCATCTTAAAGTGGCCAAGTTTGGACAACACTGGCTTATGTGGTTAATTTATGGTTCAGTGCGACATAGAAGCCCAGAGAATTAGCTTCACTGGGTAACCATTGTTAAGTTAACCCTGCGTAAGCATGGGTGCAAACAACCACTGAAAGGAGAGAGCTGCAGCCTAACTATGTGCGTTTAATGAGGTGAATTTATCAGGAGCTTGAAGGAAAAGAGAAATTGCCTAACAGACGAGAAGAATAAAATAGCTCTAAACAGTTTTCATGCCTATTTTTGTAAGTGTTCTTTGCTGTTCTTTTAATAACAGTTTTAATAACACTTTTTAATAAAAGTGTTCTTTTCTTAGATGCTTTGAAGCCTCGTATGGGTTAAAAAGGAAGGGAAGGAATTCCTAAATAATAGGCACACTGATTTTTTAAAAAAGAAAGTTAAAGGAAGACCACAGAGAAGGGAAACATTACAGAAGAAATTTGATGAATTGAAGAGATGAAAGGCAAAGCTTGGTACTGATGGAATAGGATTTAAATTATATACTGAAAGACTCCAGTACTGGGTGGTATGGATAGATAAGAGAAAAATCAATGTTTGCAGCTGTGTTTTGAATAGACTTTGAAAATAGTTAAACTGCAAGGAAAAAAATAAAGCTCTCATTAACAGAGGTAAGAAATAATTGTGACAGCAATTTGCCTTTTCAGATCTGTCTTGGAATTCACCACAAAAGCGTTAGGCTGCAAGCTGATACACACTTAACGGCAAGTTTCTTTGAATTAAATGGGGCCTGTGGCTGAGCACACACATACAGGCATGTATTGTTCTAGTACTGGCATGAATTCCCCTCCATATTGACTCAAAAAGTTCTTTTATGACCATTGGGTCATTTAGTAATATATGCCAAGTTCTGCTAACAGATCATGACATACAGAATCTGAAGGTCATCCAATCCACATTTTATTTGGGGGGGGGGGTTTCATTCTTTCTCCCCCAAATGAGGCTTTGAAAAATTCAGGTTGATCTTTTCATATTAAAATGCACTTGATTTAAAGAAGCCACTAGTGCAACATCTTTTTGCACTTCCTTACTCAAAAGGAATTACAAGGATGTAGGTCGAAACTAGAACTCTTTAGTGTTACTTACCATAACATACAATTCATCTGTCTGCAGGTAGATTTACTGACATTCTTTCAGCTGGATTTCTCACAATGCAAGAAAGGACTCCACTCTGCAGAAAGAAAATATTTTAACACTTTTATTTGACCACAAGGTGGGGCCCTTTAGCATGACTTTAGAAAAGCAGTTTTGCTCATCAGAATAGAATTGTGTTAAATTAAAATTGTACTTTGCTGTGAAAATTGCTTTAAGCCTAAACATTTCAGTAGACATAGAATGCAAACTGAAAGATAGAAAAAGAGGTTAGGATTTCCATTCAATTTTTATTCAGCTCTACAGGATCAAAGATACAAATGTGAGTAACTGTACAGTGTTAAATGTATCCCTTGGGTTTTTGTTTTTTTTCCAGTTTTACAAGTTTTGTCTCAGTGAGAAAGTGCTGCTGAAGATCACACTTTATCCCGAGGGATTAATTTATGGTTCAACACTGTTGTTTGATTTGTTTGTTCATTTGTTTTTAAAAATCAGGACTCAGTATGTGGAAGGAAAATGTAATAAAGGGAACTAGGATAAACAAAAGAAGGGGAATTTAAATTAAATTAGGACTGAAATCTCATATAGTGCAGAATCTCAGCAGCAACCACCCTAAAACAGCACTGCTGCTGAGATTCTGATTTTAACTTGACACAGCAACAATTGCAATACTTTTCCTGAAAGAAATGAAAATACCACCTAACCCCACAGTCCAGCTGAACAGAGCTAAAGTCAGTTGTGAATTCATTATGTGGCTTCTCAAGTTGATAGCCAGGAGAGAGGGATGAGGAATGATTGTCCTGCCTCTTGATCCCAGGTGAGATGCCAAACCGGACTTGAAGTCCAATCAGGAATGCGAGAAAAGCAGAGTTGGTCGCTTGGTACCATATCACTTCATATTTATTGCACGGTCATCATCATTATCATCAAATTTCAGAAAAAACAAAAACATTTGGTTCATCAGCAGTTCTTAAGTTTTAATTTTAAAACATCTGGATTACCATCTTATGGTGAAGCACCACACTTTGATCACCGGATTCTGGAATTGTCTCTAACATTTATCACAATATGCCATTAAAACTAAAACAGAGCTCTGGACCAAATCAGAGGGCATGCAGGAATGTCATTTTAGTTGTTCGTTTCAGATGCGATGCCATGTTGTAATATTCCACTTAGGAATATGAACATCCCAAACTTTTCTGTATACGCTGTCAAAAAACGTTAGCGATGCTGCAAGATCCCTCTCTGAATATGCAGTCCGTATGGAAATGAAAGGGAAGGAAAAAATGGGGATCAGGTCTGGAGATAGAATACTGGCTTTAAATATTTATGGACCAGTTTCCAGAGACATATATGTGGGTACACATACATATGTATAAAAAAGGTACATACAAAAATGTATTCATATCAGGAATGTGCAAACCAGATGTTGAACTTGTGGAAGCCAGAACTAGGACTGAAGTAAAAACGTGGTCCCCATTCTATATATTAATGGTTCCACTGTATGAACATGTACATTAGGTTTTCTTTGTACCCTCAACCTGATACAGTTCTCTCCTCTCCCTTCCTGAAACAGTATTAGCTATAGAAAGTAGTGATCTTGTGCAAGCTTTAACTACTTTCACTCTGAAATGAAAAATGCTGTATTTAAGAGAAGTTTCATTGTTTAAAATGCATTAAATTCTTGCATCCCAAAGCATGTATATTGACCTATTGCAAAATATTCATATAATATATAATGTGTTGACAGACTTCTTATGAACATTTTTTGTCTTATCCCAATACATTTTCTTAAATGATATACAGTTTGAAATGCACATTTATATTGGATTCAGTATTAATTTGATTGAATTCATATAAGATATGCATTTTCCTTAGAGAAATATTGTCATATGCTTTTATGATTCTCTGCATTTTGATTTAAGACACAGCACATCAGACACCCCTTGTGAATGCTTTTCTCTCTTTTAATTCAACAGCAGTCCCCTTTGTTTGGTTTCTCTGCTCTACTTCTGAGAGTCTTGCTCCAGTCTTTCTTGGAGCCAGCACCAAACCTTGAAGAGTCAAAGCTGTCTAGATCTATCTTGGCCTGCTAGCTGTTAACCTTCCACCTCTCTTCCTTTCTACTTCCTGGAGCTCCACCGGTCTCTTCCTTCATACCTGCTCTGCAATAGACCCCCTTTCCTATAGGAAAGTACGTGATATAATCTATTCTCAGGATTCTGATTTCAGCTACAAAGAACAACATACTATGAACAGGAGCACTCGTGCTGAATTTCTGTGTTCATTTTTTACCAGAACAAACACTATATGAGCACCTCCTGCAGAACCACAATGAAACTTTCTCATATTGCTCTTCAGGGTATGGTTCAAGTTAAATAAAAATACAGAAGATTGTAAAGTGTTAACGAGTGATAGAGCAAAAGTAGAACTACTAAGCTTTTATTTTGCTATAATCATGTCCTTGTTAGCCTTATCAGGTAGACCAGACAGGAAACACAACCAGATGAGCTAATTCTACTTTATTGTAAGGCTACATTAATAGAATTTTACAGGTCTAAAAGAACAATTCTCTCCCTGTCTCCTTTACACCCCAAGAAACTAGGGAGGGTCTCTTCTGAGCCTTTGCCCCACCCACTATCCAGCTGTGGGCTATGCTGTCTTTTATCTTACCGTTCCCTAGGCAGCATCTCTGGGCCCCACCTCCCAAAGTCATTCCCACATACAGTACCATTACATCCCCACAAGAGAAGGTGTGTTCAGTCTGGAAACATTTCTCAACCATAAAAGGCTCTGCAGAAAAGCTCATTCTTTACTGTCCTCCAAAAAACCCTAGGAAGGGTGCCATTCGGATCTCTGTAAGTAAGCAGTTCCACCATATAGGAGCATGGGCACTTGTACTCCAATCAACTCCCCTTGTGCTCTCCTAGGGGAATGGTCATGTGCCAGCCCTGTAGCAGACCACAACCAGGCTTGGTTTTTTTCAAACATTGAAAGCTTGGCCATGGCCTCCATGCCCGTGTGCCCCAAAGTGGCTGCCACTTCGGCCTCCACTGTATTTACACCACTGGGAATGTGAAAGTCATAGGAGTGCAGTGGTCAGCCTTTTAGTGGCCAAGAGCCATATTGAGCTTTGGTGAGGACTAAAACACATGGTACTAGGACCATATTACACATGCGAGTGGGTTTGCATCGGGGGGCACTAAGGGAGTTTTTTTGTTTTTTAACTGAGACTTGCATATTTGAGTCCTTGTACTACTTCTTTTGTTTTGATTTCCCAACTCAAAATGGTTGGGATGGTAGACTCACCCTTGGCATCATATATCTCAATTTCAGCAAAGCATCTGGCAAGATCTTTTCCTATTATATCCTTATTGAACAGATGGTTGCTATTTATTTATTTGTTTCTTAAATTTATATCCCACCTTTCCATCAGGAGGTCAAGGCAGTGTACATAATATTCTATCTTCTAGTTTTTATCACAACAATCCTGGGAAGTTGGTTGGGCAGAGAGACAGACTGGCCAAGTCATCCAGTGAGTTTCCAAAATATCTTAGTAAATCACAAACATGTCTACTGATAGTGATTTTTACTGATTTAACTCATCTTCTCAAATCATGCCAAGATGCTCAGCCAAAATGAGCTGGGCTAGCTTGTGGTTGATTATGTCACGTAGATACAGCCATGAAGTTCATTTTGGAAGGTCACTTGTAAGAGGACAGTGACAAATTGGAGGACATAGGATGCAGAGCACAGGATGGGGGGGTTCTGGAATGTCCAGAAGAGCTGGCTATCTTATCGTGGCGAAATTAAATAGGGACAAAGCTAACTGACAACATTTGTTGCCTAAAGGAAAAAATGCCACTTCGATAGACCTTGTACTGAAGTCAGCTGGACTGGCAATAGGATAAGGGTCTTCATACATCTGAAGGCAGCAAGTGTGAGTGGAGGCATCAAGGAAGGGCTGTGTGGCATTCACCTCTCTAGGAGAATCTCTCAAAGGTTCCAGATTTGCCAGATTATTATTTCTGGTAATGTTTAACAGTTTTTATTTTTTTGTAATGTTTAATTGTTAATTGGGATTAATAATGGGTTGCCATCTTGGGTGATGATTAATGGTTATTTTTTTAAATTCATTTGTAATGTTTAATTGTCAATTGGGATGAGAAGTTGATTATGAAGAGAGGGATTAAGGGGATTATGTTTAAATGGAAAGGAGGACTAAATGTTTATGTTGCTAGTTATGTCTGTTAATCTTTACACCTTTTGTTGATTAATAAGGAGAGCTGA